ACACAGAGATACATAACAGAGTGCGATTCACGTAAAGCTTTCCTATCCAACAGTCAAATATACTCAACTATGCATGTCCCATTCAACCATACCTGGTTTGTCCGCCATCTTGCTCTGAACTTCAAGATGATGGCTGCCGCGGTGGCCGCTGGGAGTGAAATAGAGTGACGTCAACGCGCAAGGTATGGGGGCGGGGCTTATAAATCACGTGACCACCGGATACTGCTGCTATTTGGCTTTGATATCGATGTAAAGAAACAGAAAAACATGTTTAATTTGTTTTATCTGTTTAATCACCTATTACTTTTAGCAAAGTTCCAGACAGGGCTACACAAGAGCAAATACGCTAAAAATACTACAACGTTTTCGTGCAATTGGTAATGAAACTGTTAAGTATAAAAACGATCTCTGCATCTAAAACACAACCAGAAAGTTTGTTTTTAAAAATTTGTTTATTTTATGTATATTTTTAATTTCTCAATCTTTTTAACTGTTTAACAGCTGGTACCACTGGAGGGAGACATTTACTGCATACACACAGATTTGCTGGTAAAACAGGCTTGAGGTAAATGCATCACAAGACTTCATCTTTCTGGTGGTAAAGCATGTTCTTTGTGGTAAGTAATCAAAATAAAGACTTTTTTAATAATGTGAACATTTGCATTTGTCTTTACATGATGCAGATCATTATGTTGTTTGTTGTTTTGTTTGCTAGAGAGAAATGTTATGGATTTGTATGTGGTTTGCGGTAAAACATCACCTTCTCTGAGCAGCAGACCAACATCCTTCTTTTAGTCATTGAATTGATTGATGCAAAATTAGGTAAATGTTTTTGGGATGTCTATAGACCAGTGCCTTTAGATAAAATTCATTTAGCAGCTTTGCAAAGTGTGAGGATTCAGCTGCTGTCAGGATCATTCTTCCGAAGTTTTCAAAGTCATACAGTACAGATGACAAAAACAGCATCAGTTTTTACAGGCTCTTTGCTTAATTGAAGGCCCAGAGTAAACCTTAAACCAAGTCTTTTCTACTGCCATTTGCATTTAGGAGCACATAGATCTTTACAGATGGCTGAAATCCAAAAGCTGTATTGGCAACTGAAAGCCTTTGAGTGGATAGGTAGATCTTAGATAATGTATTTACAGTGTATAGACTATAAACTGTATATATTCTATACAATAAACAATATTCCATACAACATACAGTGGTGGCCAAAATTATCATCAGCAAAAAATGGTTTTAAAGGGGTCATATGATGCTTTTTTAAAGATC